TCCTCTTGACAGGGCCACATCTTTCCACAGGATGGAATTGGCTCCTTCTCTTTACCCACGAGAGAAATCAAAGGGCAGCCAGAGTCCAAGGGCTCAGGAGGAGCTGAGCAAGGCAAGGTGAACCCTGCTTCCGTTTGTGGTCTTGAACTTCAACACTGGATTTTAACAGTGAAACAAGCTGACAAGGCAGGGGGGGTGGAGGGCAGGGTGGTGCTCCAGCTGCCCTGTGCTGCAGGGACTGTGTGCTCCTGTCACCTTGGGCACTTGCACCCTGTGACCCAAAGAGCTGGGTGAGAGTGGGGCTGCCTTTATCTTTAGATATCCCACAGCTTCCAGAGTGGGTCTTGGAGGCATTTCCTAGTCTGAAATGCTGCCAGATCCAGACCTCTGCTCTTTCCCACAGCCCAAAGCAGTGACACTGTGTTTCTCTACTTTATCACTTTCAAAGATGTGCTGTACTGATGTTCTGTGGGCTCTGGAGCAGCCCAATTTCCCTACAGCTCATATCAGACAGCCTTCCTGGTCCAGGAGATGTTCAGAATAGGCTGAAATACACAAGTGTGGCCTGATGCAGGGTGAAAATTGGCCCTCCATGTTACAGCCCTAATCGGGTTAGGGGATCAGCACGGCAGGCTTGCAGCAGCCCACGTGGCTTTCCCAGTGGCTGCATCCTGGGATGTGCCCATGCTGGGCATGTCATCAGCTGGGGGTGCATTTCTGTGCCGCTCAAAAATGCCCCAAAATGGGAAAATGCAACCTGTTTACAGGGTAGCCTCATCTGTGCCCTGGGGTATGTCTCAGGGGGGTTCTGCTGTGGAGGTTCTTTCTGTTTTCAGGCTGGTGTTGTTTTAGTGGTGTGAAGGTTGTGGTTTCCTCACAAGCAGTGCCAGGCAGGAGCCCCCCAGAGGGGTCTGCCCAGTGACATCCCTTGGGTGTACCCAGGTAATCATCGGCCCTCCAAGGAGCTTCTCAGTGGGCCCTCTGTGTTTGTCCTGATGCTCTTGGGCCTGCAGTCACACAAATATCCTTAGGAAAAGCCTGTCACCTGCTCCCTGCTGGTGGAGAGCTGGGAGAAAGTCTATCTGGGACCGGGATGTGATGCAGGACCTGCTTCAGCTTTTGGAGGCCAGTGTTGGGTCTGTTTCCAGCTTCTTTGAGAGCAGAGGGGAAATGAAGTCCCTCTGGGGAGCGGGGTGGATCCTCAGCAGGGTTTTTGCCCTTCCCGTTGGCCACAGGATCCCGTGATCCCCAGCAGGAACCAAATGGGTCACAGCTGAGTTCCCACCAGTGACTCCAGTGGTGGCTTGCCCCGGGGCAGAGGTTTTCCCTGCCCTGCAGAGAAGCTGCAGAAATTAAAAGAGAATTGCTGAGTTAAGTTAGGGCTTTGTCTCAAAAACAAAACTTTTGCAGAAGCAATGGATGTTCGGGCTGAGAATGTCTCCTCCTGCAAAAACCACCATTTTAGCAGTATGTCACATTTATACATGTCACTGGCATTTATACTATCTTACTGGTAGAATTAATTAATCTAAACACTTTTTCCTCCTTTAGCCACTTAGAATGGGCTGTCATGTGACACTCTTTGGTATCTGGTAAAACAAAACAAAACAACAGAAAACCCCCACCCCAACCAAAATAGAAAAGGGCGTTTTTTAAGATCTAAGCCCAACATAAGCACACTTTTTAGTATTTTTGGAAAGCTGTTTGCAAGTGTCAGCAACCCTGACACACAGCTGGTATTAACTTGTGGGGGCAAGAGAAAGGGAACAGGTTTAAATATAGCTCCTGGGAAATAAGCATTGGAATAGCTTCCAAGATCAGTTTTACCCCTACTTTACTGCCTGGAATTTTCCCAGAAATACAAAAGATAAACAATCAGAGACCAGAGCCATGGCAGGCTGTGCAGATGAGCAGTTGCTTTCCCCCAGGATGGTCCCAGAGCAAACCAATGTGCTTGGCCAGACAGGTCCCTGTTTGTGCCCCTCTGGTTTCCCAGGTGGGAATTCACCATTAAATAACAGATTTGTTCTTCTTGAGCCTCCTGGCTGCAGGGAGATGTGGTGTTCTCAAAGGGAAACATTGATTTAACACCAAGAGCACAGCAGCTATCGCAACCACCCGATTAAGCCAGTGGTAAAGATGGATAAAGTGGATCAGGGTCAGGTCAATTAAAATCAGCCCAATCCGTATTTCTAAGGCTCGGCAACACACTTGTGTGCAATGAATGCACTGTGCTGACACTCCTGGAAAGAGCTGAGTCTGCAGCACACATGTATTTGCTAAGCAGGAAAAAAAAACAACATCAAAAAACCCCTTACAGAACCATTCCCAGTCGATGGGGCCAGTTCAGCCCCATTTGGCTCTTTCTGACCTTTGCTATCAACGCTCCTCCCAGCAGATAATTACCCACATGCTATTTTTTTTTTTACCCTGTAATTTCCTCTAATCTCAAATAAATGCTCTAATTGACCTCTGTCCTCCCAGTGTACATGACACATTGAGCAGGGCTGTGCCCACAAAAGACTATTAGAAAGCACTGTCTGTTCACACTGGGGCCATTCCTGTTGTGGATGCTTTGAACCAGAAGTCAGGCCTCAAATATGTGATGCTGTGAATCATTATCCAGGCAAAATAGATATTTTTCAGGTGGCTGCTAAAGAAAGCCACCTATGATGTGGAAGTGAAATGGTCCATGTGAGGCAGAGCTCACCTTGCCCAGAAGCAGTTTCACAAACAGTTACTAATTTGCACACTGGACCATTTTGTTTCTGCCCAGACCCTCTGTGCACACCCAGGAGGCTTTTAACCAAATCCAGCGCTTTCAAAGTAGCTTGGAATGTTTTCCCCTTTTGGAAATCACAAGTTTTAGTGCAGAGAATACCTGCTGCTTATTCCTGCTGCTCCATCCCACAGGCTCCCGGAAGCCCTGAGCGGTGCTTGGCAGCTAACGCTTACTTTCCCCTGCCAGTCACTATTTTCTAAAGAATATTTTTGCCACTTAGCTGTGGTTAATGGGCTTTGTCTGTCCCGTATGGATGCAGTCAGGGCATCCCTGAAAGGTGCTACTTAATAAAAGAGAACATGTTGATGAACCTTCCTCCCCAGCCAAGCCCTGGGCTTTTCCCACGGGCTCTGCTGCAGTGCACATACCCAAATGACCTTGGGATTTCAGCTGAAAAACTACTGTTTTCTCAATGCCTACTTGGCTTTGGGGCAGAAATTCCATCACTGCTCTCATGGCAAAGGCTGGTGACAAGGGAGGCTGGTGACATTCCCCCGTGGAGCAGTGAGCCTGTAGCGTGTCCTACATTCACTAAGCAGTGCCAGCACCAGGTTGCAGCCCCTGCTTTCAGGGCTGTTTGCTCCCCTGGGCTGTTTGATGTCACCTGGCTGGGGTGGCAGTGTGACAGCACAGGGCTGGAGGAGCCCCCAGCCTTCCCCATCCCCAAAAGCAGGGCTCTGGTGTAGCTAATCCCCTGCTCCCAGCTTCCACAAACAATGTCCCTCTGGAGCAAACACAGCTGGGAAGGAGAAGAGGGAACTTTGTTTTGCAGCCATTTGTGGTAGTGTTCACGCCTACAACCCCAAGTGCTTTCTCTGCTTATGCACCAGAGCAAGTAATAATAGTATTTTTCATTGATACAGTGATTTTCATCTCTAGGACTCTCTGTGGTCTGGGGATGGCCTCACCTGGGCAGGTGAACTCCAGTCATACAGAACAAAACTGTGCTCCTTGTCTCTGCAGAGATTTTGGAAATATCACCTGTCTGCTCAGCACCTTCCAGGAATCTTCGGTCTCATCTCACCCAGGGCTGCAGAAGGGTCCAAGGGATGTTCCTTAAGGGTCAGTCTAGGAAGTGGTTCCACCTGATGGACTCGCCTTTAGCTAGATGGGGACTTCAGGAGTGGAGTGACTGAAAGCTCTGCTCTCTCCAGTATCAGAGAAGCCCTGCTCAGCAGTGAGGAGCAGGCAGGACTTCTCTGGAACTCCCCTTTTCTGGAGATATTCAAAACCAACCTGGACACAACCCTATGTAACCTGCTCCAGGTGAACCTGCTTTAGCAGGGGGGCTGGACTAAATGATCTCCAGAGGTTCCTTCCCAACCATTCTGTAATTCTGTGGCTTTCTGGCTCACTGTCCTCAGTGACTGGGCTGCCAGATGCATCACCTATGGGAGAGCAGGGCAGGAGGCAGAGGAGCAGTGTAAGACATGGCCAGGTCACTAAAAATAAGAAATGAAAAGCTGAGTGTGAGTTTGCAGGAACTGAAAGCAGGTGTAGGATGGACTGAGAGCCGTGGGACAAAACAACTGAGTCACAGAGCAGCAGGTCTGAGAGCAGGAAAGGTTAAAACAAATATTGTTGAATTGGGTTAAGGCTGCAATCAAAGCTGGAGGTTGCATTCCGGTCCTACACACTGAGCTGTCGTTCTCTCCTGTTCTAATTTCTGTCAGTGTTATTGTTGGAGGAGCAGCTCCGCTCGGGCTCTCAGCTCCTGAAGGAAACATGAGTGGGACTTCAGGAAGGGTGGGTTTTGATTAAACATTGGAGAGAAATTACGGTCTTAAGCTCCGCCAGGGGAGGAAGAAAATTTTTTTACAGAGAGAGCAATCAGACATCGGAATGGGCTGCCCAGGGAGGTGGCGGATTCACCCTCCCTGGAGGTTTTTTAAGATGAGACTGGATGTGGCACGGAAGAGTTGGACTCAATGACCCCGGAGACCTTTTCCAAGCTGGCTGATGCTGTGATTCTACGATTCTATGAATTCTGCCCTGCGAGCGCGGCGAGGCACCGGGGCTGCCCAAAAGATGCGGCCGTGCCCCCCACCACCCCTGGGAAGCGTCCGTGCCCAGGCTGGACGGGGCTTGGAGCAACCCGGGTCCCTAAACCAGGGCAGGGGGGTGTGTGGAAGGGGATGATCTTTAAGGGTCCGATGCCATCGCTCCGTGCTCTGCGGGGCGGGGCCGGCGGGGGCCGGGCGAGCGCTGCCGGCGGGGCGGGAGCGGCGGCGGGCGCAGAACGGCGGCGGCAGCGGGAGAGGCAGGAGCATGGAGCGGGCACCGGGAGTCTTCGGAGGACCCAAGGTGAGCTGTAGGCAGGGCTGGGAACGGGCATGGACCGGGAGCAGCGGGGTTGGGAGCGGGGTGAACGCTCCAGGGCGCGGCGGCTCAGCCCCCCCCGGGGCACAGCACCTCTGCCCACGGGGCACGGACGTGCCCCGTGGGCAGAGGTGCTGTGTCCCGGGGGGGGGCTGAGATGCCGTGCTCCTGGGGTGCTGCAGCCGCGTGGGAATTGGGGCACGGCCGGGACGCGGCGGCTGATGGGCGGGGATTTGCCCGGCGGTGTCACCCGGCGGTCCGCGGGTCCCCCCCCGGCAACATCCCTGGAGCGGTGCGCGGGTGTCCAGGGCTCCATCCCGGGATGTGCGGGTGGGCTGGGATAAGCCCTGAAGAATCGCGGGACGTGCCGAGGTGGAAGGGACCCAAAAAAAGGGTTGTTGAGCCCAACTGCTGGCCCTGCGCAGGACCATCCCCCGGAGAGTCACACCCTGTGCCCCAGAGGGTCATCAGAACGCTCCCTGAGCTCTGGCAGCTTTGGGGCTGTGCCCACTGCCCTGGGGGAGCCTGGTCAGTGCCCAACCAGCCTCTGGGGGAAGAACCTTTTCCTGAGATCCAACCTGACCCTGCCCTGACACAGCTCCAGGCCATTCCCTGGGGTCCTGTCCCTGGTCCCCCCAGAGCAGAGCTCAGGGACTGCCCCTCCTCTGCCCCTCCCGAGGAAGTTGTAACTGCAGTGAGGTCTCCCCTCAGTCTCTTCTTCTCCAGCTGAACACACCAAGTGCCCCCCCAACCCCTGCCGTGCTCTACTAAACTAAATGTTTTCTCTTGGCTTTTTTATTTTGTTCCGGGGTTTGTTTTGTGGGTAGTTTTGTTTTGGGAGTTTTGTGTTTGTGTTTTGTTTTGGTTTTTTTTTTTTGATTTTTGTTTTTTTTTTTGTCTCTTAAACATTTAGTTCAGTTTTTCCTCAGGTGCCCGTGACACGACCTTGGTGGCTGCTGTCAGAGGGTGCTCCAGTCTTTCACTCTTGCCATGCCTTGTATAGGTGCATCTCAAGTAGGATCATGTGGTAATGTTTGCTATTCAGATTAGAAAACAGTTGAGGAGGAAGAAGATGAAACAGCTGTGGTTAGCAGTAGTCCTGTATCTGATGGTAGATCACTGCAAGTGCTGCAGGGTGGTTCTGCTTTCAGGCTGTGGTCCCAGTGAGCTGCTGTACAGGGAGCAGGTCTCCTCTGCTTGGCTGCCATGTTGGGCTCTTGGTGGGAAGTGAGGGGTCAGGACAGAGGAGACCAAGAAAAGTGATGTGAGGCTTGTGGTGGTCCTGCTCTGGGAGAACCTGAGCAGTGGCAACTGTGTGTGGCTTCCCCAAAGAAGATTGTCTCTGAGAACCCCAAAGGGTTGGGTTTTTCTGCTGCTGTTTGCATCCCCTACCACTCCCAAACCATTTATCTCTCCGTTTGAGTTTGAGTTCATACCAGGAAAGTCTTGCATAGTTGGAAAGGTCTGTGTGCACAGGTCTGATTCATGTTTTGTTCCATCACAGTGCTTCCCTCTCATTGAAGTTGATTCATGCAGTAGCAGGCAAACCTTGATACCAAAATCCAGGGAGTGCTGACAGCTGCTAATGGTTAAAGCCTTTTTAAGGCTGCTTCAGTTTTGGGAGATGGTGACCTTTCGTCAGGTCCACTGAGAACAAAGGCTGTTGGTTCACAGGCTGTTTTAAACTTTCAGACGAGAGAAGCAACTTCAGTTCTTCTTTCACTTGTGATTCTTCCTGCTTTTCCAGTGCGTGGGAGAGTGGAATGCCAAAGAGAAAGACCTAGGAAAATCTGCAGGGTTTGACTGCTAAGATCAGGCTTCTGTTGCCCGGCTGCTGGCAATTATGAGACTGGTTTTCCTGAGTCAGGCAGTCCCTTTCAGTCCTGTGAACCTGCTAAGTCAGGCTTGGGGAAAAAAAATGGGCCTGAAGTCAGTTAATGAGCCCTATTCATTCCCCTGGACCCTCTGCCATTGGGAACGATCAGTTTTGTGTTTTAGAGATGTTTCTGGTGACTGGAGCGGCTTCGAGCCCCGGCTGAACCTGGGGTCAGGGCTGCCTCTGTGTTTTTCAGGAGCTCTCTGACTCCCAGTGGCTGAGGTGGATGAACAGGGAGCTTCCGGGGCTGCTGGGGGGCAACTTTGAACCCTGCTTATCACAGGCCATAAAAGAGCAGAAAAGACTGACGTTCCTTTGACACCAACCATCAGGCTCCCCCCGTTCTGCTGCACAACCAGAGCAGAGACCCTGTCCTTGCTCACTGCTGGCTCCTCTCCCTGCAGGCCAGCCCCAGCTCGAGTGCTTCAGGACCCATGGCTCTCTTCTCCTGCAGCTCCCGTGTGCTTTGAGCTGTGTTGTGGGGAGAAGGATGGGAACAGGAGTTCCTGGGGTCAGGCCCACTCCCTCCCAGTGGCTGGTGTAGCTCTGCTGCTGGATGCTGGTTTGGAACATGAGCCTCGGGTCACACTGGGCAGGTGTTCCTGTGAGACACACTGTGCGTGTCATGGTGTTTTGGGGCCTGTCCCTATCCGAAGGGAGGCAGTTGTCTCCAACACAACCTTCGTACCTAGGAGCTGGGAGAGGTGGGCAGAGCTGGCTGGAACTCTGTGTGTCCCGTCAGCACTGAGGAGATGGCACTAAAGGTGCTCACACTGGCTGTGCCCAGGGAGTTTGGGTGGGCGCCTTGCCCTGCTCCTTGTAACACTGCAGCCTCTGCTGAGCTGATAGTACAGGGATTTGCCTTGGGAGCAAAACTTCAAAGCTAAAAATTAAAAAAAAAAAAATTAAATTTACAAAAGTGATCCTTATTGTGGGGACTGCAAATGCACAGTCGTGTATTCAGGGTGATGTTTACTTTGGCCAAACCACTTCTTGAGTACAGCCTGAGCCCTGACTCTTGGCACGGGTCAGAGCCTGGTGCTGCTGAGGCTGCATTGAGCTCAGCCATACCTTACACATCCTTCAGTAATGGGATACAGGGACGCTCTTGGATAAACTTCCTGCATCCACTTGTCAGATGTGATGGCAGTGAGGGGTTGGCTTGGTGCTGCACAGAGTGCAAGGGCTCTGTTTATTGCTCCAGCCAGGGGTGGGTGTGAGATCCATGGTGGGTTGGCGAGGACGTGGCCCTGTCACCCCATGGGATGTCACCTGTGATGACACACAGCCACCATCACCTGTTAATGTCACACGATTCTTGTACCGAGGTCAGTGAAGGTTGAGTGGTTGGTGCTGGGAGGATGGTACCAAAGGCTTCCCAGCACAGGAGCAACCTCCTTCCTCAGCCACCAAACCTGTGTATCATGTCAGTGCTTGTCTGGAAAGCTTGGATGTGCTTTGCAGCAGAGCAGTGTCCTGTGGGTCTTGCAAGTCTCCCATGTTTCTCTTTCAAAGACTCAAGCCTTAAAGCATGTGGCAGATTCATCTCCCAGGTGCATTTGTGGGTGTTGCCAGGTTTGAGGGCAAAACTGTGCCCCTTCAACTTCACATCCATCTTGAGCCACTTGCACCTCTTTCTCCTAAATGAGTGTTTGTGGTGAGTTTAGGATGAGGATAACTTTGCTCCTGACAGCACACTTCCATAAAACCAGTGTTTGGGAAACACAGTTCATTCTTTTTTGCAGTGATTGGCATTTGTCTTATCTCTTGTTCAATTTTGCTCTTCATTAACATTTGCCTGCCACGCTTATCTAATAATTGACAAATTACAGCTATAATTGCCCTGTTTTTCAGCTATTGAGATTAATAGAATGAATTTAAATTATCAGCTTTTAATGCCCTGATAAGTAATCCTGGGCAAAATCACAGTTAAGGGTTTTAAAATGATGCCACTTTACCAGCTGCAGTTGGTGTTACTTTTACTGTGGTGTTAGGACTGACTTTGGTCATTGTATGTATTTTAAGAAAGACTCTAGAACTACCTCGTACAGAAAATCCTTCAAGTGCCTTAGCTTGGATGGCTCTTTTTATGCCATATAATGGGCAAACTGAGCAGTTAACTGCTCTGCCATGGTCTGCTGAGCAAACTCTAATAGAGAAATTGTATTGGGTTTACTGTGGCTGAAAATACTTTGAATGTTTGGTTAACTTTTTCCTCCTAATTTCACTAAATTGAAAATAATCAGACTTGATCTTGGAATGGAACATACTTGTTTGAGTACCTAATTTTGTGTTTGAATTTATATTTGAAGCTTATTAAGTCTCAAAGAAAACATTACAATATTGCCAGAGAAGTCACGCCAGAGCCCTTAAAACTTCTCCTTTTTAAAATCTGAACCAACTTGCTGATATCTGCACCAGCGAGTCACGTGCCCTGGTTGAGCTGAAACTTTTTTTGCATAAAAATGGAAAGCGCTGGGTTTGCTCTGATGGCCTTGCTGGGGGCTGTCTGTGCTGAGGACGCACAATTTACAGCCAGTTACATCTTTTGAACTCGCCCCTCTGGCTTTCAACAACTCTTTAGTGAAACTAAAGGTTTTATTGAATTGCCCTCTGGGTTTTCCGTGCGCTGGCAGGAGATCAGTGCAGGTGCAGGAGGACACGAGTGTGGCTGCACAGAGTTGGTCCTGAGGGTCCTCACTGCAACTGGGGGAAGAGCAAAGCTCCTGCCCCAGGAAAGCGTTGGAGAGCTCTGCTGCTTTCTTGTTCTTCTTCAGAACAAGTGTTGCCACATCCTGTGAGAAGGGAAGGCATCGACTTGGTCGAGTGGGTGACAACCCTGCCCACGGCAGGGGAGTTGGAGTTGTATGATTTTTAAGTTCCTTTCCAACCCAAACCTTTCTCTGATTTTATGATCAGCGCTCCTGGAATGGTCGGAGGCTCCTCTGCAGTGCTGGTGCAGCGCTGGTCCTGGACCAGTGTTGAGGTCCCCATTTAATTTGTGTGCACAAGCTTCTGCTCCAAATAAACCGGAGGGTTTGGGGTGAGAGACCACGTGCCCGTGGAGCTCTGTGTGCCAAGGAGCAGAGCCCTGGAAAAGGCACTGGGCTCCTGCATCCATCATTATTTCTGCTTGCTCAGGCATCATCTCCTGGAGCCACAGTTCAGAGAAAACCCTTTCATCTCTCTCTGGGTGCTTTCCTTGGCTTCAGGCAAGGTCATGTCACCCACTTGTGTCTGGAAAAGTCTTGTGCTTTGTTTACCCAAAACAAACACTCAGGAAGAGAGCTGAAATGTAATCTGCAGCGAGCAGCCTCCCACGGACCTGGAAGCCTGGGGGTTTGCCAGCAAGGCGCCCAGGGGAGATGAGCAGCTGGGTTGTGCCTCTGCTGATTGCATCCTTATCTAGAGCCTTTTAGGCCCACCTTTCCATCTTCTCTTGAGTGTCCTTTGGCCATCTAAATAGCATAGATTGCTTCTCAGCTGCAGAAAACTACGCCCTGAAGCACTGATCTTGGGGAATCCCAAAACTTTTCGGGTTGAACAGCATCAAGCTGCCTTAGTTTAGGTCCCTCCAGACCCAAAGAAGTGCTGGCAGGGGAGGAAGAGCCTGTTGCTGGTGTTGGAGAGGAACCTTGCTGCTTTACAAGTGTCTCACCTGCAGAAGTGGCAGGAGGAGGTGACTTGCATGGACAAAGGACACCACAGAATCTGGATTCTTGTTGACAGGAATGTCACATTGGGATGTTCCTGCAGGAAACACTTGAGAAGTGTTTGGAGCGAGAAGACTTCAATAAGTTCAGGTTGCTTGGTTTTTAAATCCAGTGTGAGCAAGTTTCAAGCCTGTAAGTTTTATCCATCAGAAAGGGCTGTCACAAGGGCTGCTGGATATCTCAAGGAGTGGAGCTTGCCTGGTTTTGCAATAGGAGTTGGAGCTCAAGAGTGGAAAGCATGCCAGGCGTCCACATCTGGCCATGCAGATCACGTCCGTGGTGTGTTATTTTATCTGCTGCTTTGCAGGACATTTAGTCCTCATAAGCAGGATTGTGTAACTCGAGATGGGGGGAAAAAGCAGGTTTTTCCCTTTTTCAGGCTTCCTCCCTCTAGATTCAGATCACATCTTAAGCGTAGGAGAAGTGACAGGGATATCTTTTAACAGCCTGCTAACAGTGGTGTCTGTGGGCATGTTCATGACCCCCTGGGCCAGCTGATTGCACCAGTGCCAGCCCTGTGCCAGGAGCTCACGTCACCTGCTCTTGGGCACTCCCAAGGATCCAAAAGGATCCAGGGGAGGTGGACAGTCCTGCCTTGCCCTGCTGGCTTACTCGTTTTTCCTCCCAGCTCCTCGTAGTTATTGTTTGATACATACCCTGGTGCCAGAGGGTTTGTGGGTTTTAATTAGTAACCCTGGGTGGTTTAATTATCCATGCAAATATCCAGTCCTCTTCTGAATCCTACTAAATTCTTACCCTGCAGCAAACATGTACACAGTAGAATGTGCACGATGTTACAACTAACAACTTTGGGTATCAAGTTGCTGCTCTACAGTTTGATTAAAAAATAAAATTAAAGATGCATTTTGTAGGCTATGCCGTTACTTAAAAGAAAACAATTCTGGAAAGATGAATATCTAGCTGAAACATTTTACAGCTAATATTTTCCTTCCCAGTTTGACTTCCAAATTACATCTGTCATGTTCCTCCAAAAGCCCCAGCTGGCTAATGGAAAAAACTTACTTTTGTTTTTTTGGGGCTCTTTCTCCAAAATCCAGTGTTTCAGCAGTAATCGGGAAACAGGGTTTCAGAGTGAAAAGACTTGAGTTACTGTCCCATTTTTAATGAGTAAAAATTTAAGTGTTTTATTTTGAGACCAGCTTGGTAGCTCTGTGGGACAACTTGTTATTATTTTTACAGCACCTTGTACCATGGGACTGACCCCTTGTGTAGGATTAGAGATCCTGTAAGCTCTGATAATACCAAGTAATTAACAACCCATCAGGAGCTGATTCTTGGAAGTGAAATCAAAGTTTTTGTAATGACTCTTAGCAAATTAATTGGTGTTTGGCTGACTGTGACTTCAAGGAGGAGTAAGCTGGAAAGCAAAGGTGTTTGGGGTTTGCTTTTTTCACTCTTTCCAAACTCTGAACCATGCAAGCTAAATAAGGATAGGGCAGTTCCTGAAAATTACTGGAAACAGAATAATTTTCTAAAGACTCATTAAACGTGTGAGCTGCAGCAGCTATAAGAAAATACTTAGTACTTAGATGTTGAAAAATAAACTTTATAATGATTATATTTTAAAAATGTTTCTGTGCTTCCTTGTAATGATTTTGTCCCTGTATTGGCTGCATTTATACCCATGTGAGTGCCAGCTACTTATCTCTGAACTTTTGCTGTAGCTCTAAGAATACCTGACCCATTTTTCTTATTGCAGGTTGAGCTTCACGTCCACCTGGATGGAGCCATTAGACCAGAGACAATCTTGTACTTTGGCAGGTGAGCTGTGGGGTGAGGAAAGCTCTGGGAGCTGCAGTTCCAAAGCATCAGCCCTTTTGCTTGTCCAGGTCTGCGACAGAAGAGCTCCTGCAGGCAGCAAACCTGGCTTGTGCTGGTGCTGTCTCTGCCCAGATGGGTCCTCTGGCTGCACAGTGTGGTGACACTGAGCACATCCCAAAGGGCAGTGGGGCTGCACAGGTAGCAGGAGCATGAGCAAGGTGGTCACGGGTTTGTGAGCCGGGCAAGCCAAGAGGAGCCACCACAAGGAAAGCCCCGAAGGTGTCTCATAAACAGCTGCCTGCCTTTGAAGTGTGGCTGGAACACGGCAGAGCAGCTGTATTCTGATTCCTTTTTCCATATTCCTAATTGCAAAAGCAAGTCAAATGACAGCAGGTGGGAGCATTGTCTTGGTGGTGGTGGTGCTGTTCCACGGTTTGGGAGGAAAAACCCACCTTGCCCTGCTGCCTTTGAACCCCGGGCTGTGCGCCTGGTGTCAGCAGTCAGGGAGTCACGCTGGCATGTGGGTGACCCCGGGAAGCACTTGGCAGTGACTTAGAGAGAGGTTGTTTCCTTGACAGAGCCCACATGCATCTTCTCCCTTCAGCGTGGACGGTGTGGGAAGCACTGGGTGAATGATTAACTGGTGCGAGGACCTGGCTCCACGCTTGCAGGAAAAATAAACAAGATTTCTTCCAGCTGTCACTGATACCCTCAGATCAAGAAGGTTGTGAGTTTAAGGATTTCAGGGAATGGCTCTCAGGCACCACTCTGGTACTTTTGGGAGGAAATCAGTTCTGAGGAGCAAGAGAAGTGGTTCTGGCATCCTGTGAGCCCAGCAGGGTCCAAGGCAGTGCAGTCCTAGGGGGAATATTCTTTCTACAGTAGCTTTTTCTGCAGGGCATGGCCATACCTTTTGCAATGTAGTCTGAGCAAGGAATGTGGATCAGAGCTGCCCATCCCATTCACTGCAGGATGTTGGCCCTGAGCTGAGTCAGGGTTCCTGCTGGTGGGCTGCAGGGCTGGAATACAGGTCCAAATGGACAGATGAGTCGGTGGTGACTCCCTGAGGCTCTGCTGGGTCCCTCTGCCAGCAAAGAGAAAATGCCAGTGTAGTCCCTGAGGAGGGCTGCGGGAGCCCTGAAGCCCAGGAGGCCCTGGCTGTCTGGGGATCCTGTGCCAGGATCCTTGCTTAGGGCAGAAACCTTCATTGCCTGAGTGTGTGCCGAGTTCCCTCTTATTTTTAAACAGCCCTGGCATCCCCCAGAGCTGCCAGCCCTCGGGTGGAGCAAGGCTGTGCTATTCGTGAGCTCTGAAACTTGCACTCACACACAAAAAAAGCTTTGGGGCAGTGCAGGAGGCTGTAGGGGACTGACTGCCTTAATAACCTCACCCTGGGCACAGAAGGCTGCTTGTGGTCTATTTTTAAAGGTAAATAGCTGGAAATAAATTTGCCAGGTGGCGGCATAATATAACCCCGAGCTGCTGGGATGCACAAGGTCCCTTGGGCAGTGCACTGCTGAACTGGGCCATTTTTAGAAACTTTGTCTCCAATTCTGTCACGTCTGGGCCAGGGTTTGCATCCCCCCTGCCCAGCCAGAGGGTTTAGAGCCATGGCAGATCCCTCCTGGGACTGGGTGTCCCCAGGAAAGCTGCCCTGTCCGAGGTGGGACGGTGTGTGTGGTGCTGCCCGTGGCTGGAGGTGGCTCTGGGCAGGACACTGAGGTGCTGGTGGGCACGAACACATTCCCTGGAGCAGCTTTGCCTCAGGAAGGATCCCACCTACCAGCAGGGTTGGATGGGGCGGCAGCAGCTCCCAGAGCCACACTGGCATGATTCACCAGACCTCCTCATCCAGAGGCCTGACTCCAGGGCAGATCATCCCAAAGCACTGCTGCTGCTGCCTGTGCAGAGGCAATCCTTCGGGAAGCACAGGAAAATGTCAGGGAAGCGGCTTTGCTGTAGGAAACTTTCCCTGGGCAGGTGGAGGGAGGTGCGTGCCGGTTCCTAGGGCAGACACTGATGTGTCAGTGCCATGGAAAGGGCAAGGCAGGGAGGAAAACCAATGCCCTGGCAACGATAAATGTTCCCTGCTGAGTGCCAGCAACTTAATCTGTGCAGATTGCATGTGAGGGCTGAGCGTGGGGCTGGTTTCCTTCCTGGCCGAGGGGGGAAGGAGCAGTGTTTACTGAGCCCAGGAGCAGGGTCCTTTGGACTGTGTCCCTGCATGGCTCCCTGGAATGGTTGCTGGCACGGGGACAATAAAGCTGTCTGTGGTGTTTTGTCTCTATTAGCAGAGATCCACCAATTAGCTGTAATTCATTGTGGCAGAAAAGAGGATTAAAAACAAATGTCTAGTTATTATTCCAAAATTATGTTGGCTCGTGCAGGGTACCAGAGTGTTGGGGGTGGCAAAGCCTGCCCAGGAAGCCTTCAGCACCCTTGGCTGGCACCCTGGCTGTCGCCCCACTGCACTGGGGACACCTTCCCCCACACAGTACTCCAGCTGCTCCAGGGAAAAATGGCCTCTCCCCTCTTGGAAGTACTTAAATGGGCTTTAGCATCACTATCCCTTTGGTGAGAGCAGTTGTTGCCATTTGCTCCTGCATGGAAGGTGTCCCTGTCAGAGAAGATGCCACCACAATGCTGAGCTCAGGAACGAGCTCACTCACAGGAACTGAAACCCTGAGCCACGACACTTGTGCCTGCAGGATCCCAGGCCTTGGAGCATCCCCCTGATTTCTCAGACCTTTGAGCCTGCATAAGTGGATATTGACTTTTCTAAAGAATTTTGGCAATTCCTAAGACTAGGAGGTGCCAAGAAATAATCCAGAGCCCCTTTAGATGAACTCCTTCTTAAGCTTAAAATGTGCCCTGGCTGTGTTCCTGCAGGGTCAGTCTGGGCTTGTATTTCGGTTTGTTTGTGCTTTGCCTGTGTTTTGGATTGCCTTCCTCCCCACTGAGATTCAGGGCAGCATCCACGAGGAGATTTTGGAAGGACAGCATGTGCTGTGTCTCTCTGTGAAGGAGCAGTGGTCGATGCTGCCAGCTCGGGATGTGATCGCTGTGTGAGATGGATTGATCAAGAATGTGTTGCCTTCCCTGTCAGTAACACGTGCCTTCATTTCCAGAAAAAGAGGGATCCCTCTCCCTGGCAACACTGTTGAGGAGCTCCTGAAGTACATCAGCTATGACACACCGCTGACACTTCCCCAATTTCTGGAGAAATTTAATTACTACATGCCCGCTATTGCGTAAGTACCCTGCTTTTTGCTTCTCCCCCCTCAACCCGTGGCAGCATCCCTTGGCTCAGCCTTGGAGGTTCCCTGTGTGCCCTGAGGGTGAGCAGTCCCAGTGATGGGTGGCAGTGCTGTCCCTGCAGGGGTGACCGTGAGGCAGTGAGGAGAATCGCCTACGAGTTCGTGGAGACAAAGGCAAAGGAAGGAATCGCCTACGTGGAGGTCCGGTACAGCCCTCACCTCCTGGCCAACTCTGGCGTGGATCCCATCCCCTGGGGACAAGCTGAGTGAGTGATCCTGCTGTGCCAGGGAGCTGCTGGGTGGCCAGTTGGGCATGGAGAAGGCATGGCCCACTCCAGACAGCGGCTGTGTGTCCAAAGCCTGCTGTAACCAAAGCTCCTTTCTCCCCCCATGCAGTGAGCACCAGCATGCTTCCACCTCTCCTTCCCACCTGTAGGGTTTTTCATCTTAAATACCTCTGTGTGCTGCTGTGTTTTAACGTCCCTTGCTCTGGGCACTGGATTCTGCATGTGCAGGGCAGCTGTGCTCAGCCTTCTGGCTGGAGCTGTTCTCTGTGCGAGGCAAAGCAGCCTTCACGTGTGTACTGCCTGCAAAATGGGAATTTGAGCTGGCAGAGATGGTGGGTGGCATTGGAGGGGGCTGGTGATCCGATCCCTTCCTTGCATGTCATCCCCTCTGTGATGTGTGCCTCTTATTAAATCAGTGCTGGGCTCTGTGGCCCCTCCAAAGTGTGCTGTGGTGGGCATTGAGCCCCATGCTTGCCCTGCCTGGCTGCAGGCAGTTGTGTGCCCTAATGAGATGCTGTGGCAAAGAGGGGGTTCCTCTGGGTAGGGTTTGCCCCTGGTTCCCTGAGGCATTTCTAGATCTTACTGTCATCTTCGCGTGCTTTTGTGGTAAATGTGGGCATGGCATGGGTGTAAAAGGTGCTCATAAGTTCTGGGTGGTCTCATCGGGTGCTTCTGGATGTTGAGGCGAGTGGAGCCCCGGGCAGACTGTCTCCTGCCTGCCTCCCTGGCTGGCGTCTGCCCTCTTGCTGATGGCTTTTCTTCCCTGCAGGGGAGACCTCACTCCAGATGAAGTCGTTCAGCTCGTAAATCAGGGACTACAGGATGGAGAAAGGGATTTCCACATCAAAGCCAGGTCTATTCTATGCTGCATGCGCCATATGCCAAGTAATGTATTGCAGCTCCCCTGCTGCCCTGCTCCCCTTCCCTGGCGCGTGGCGGGGGGTGATGTCCCCTGGGTTTGGGTCCCTGCACAAATGTGGGGAAAGCCCCTGGTCCCTGGGTCTGATGCAGGACCAGACAGTGCTGAGGGGGAGTTCTTCCTTGGTGGGGGTCCTCTGCTCCCTTCACTGGGGGGAAAAGGTCTGCTGGATGGGAAAGTGGGGGTCTGTGGGTGTAACCAGTATGTGAAATGTCTTGCTCATCTGTCCTCTGCTCCCTGCCCTGGGGAGCTGTGATCTCTCTCCCTGCCCAAAGGCCAGAGCACCCCTTGGGCCAGTCAAAGCCATTGGCACAGGGAGCACTTTCATCTACTGTGCTGTCTGGTGGGTCTGAGAGCAAATGGTCGTGGAAGGAGGACTGAGATCTCACACTTCCCTGCTCATGGTCCTGCTGCTACAGCAGCATGTGCTCCTTCCTTAGCCTGGATCACGGGGCAGCCAGAGAATCCACTGGCTGCAGTCAGTCTCTGCTGGCTTAAGATGAAAACACAAGTCAAATATACTTAAGACAAATACATAAATTTTTTTTTTTTAAAAATCAGCAGCTCTGAACTTGGTCAGTAACAGGTGCTGTGACCCAGAATAGGAAGGAAACCCGGTTTCCAGCATTTGAATGGGCTGCTGAGTTCTGTGAGGACCTTCCTCCAGGGAAGAATGCAGTCAGAGAGAGGCTGTGTGACAGCAGCTGTTTTATGTGAAGACTTTTCTCTGAGTATCTTCATATCTCACAGCAGTTTCATATAGGCTTAATAGGGTAGATGGTGGAAAGATATTTCCTAATGAGCATGTGGTTAATTTGTGTCTAGAAATGTGAAAAATTACATTCTTGGGAACGGGAGATTGGAGAGCGGGTTTTTTTTCCTGCCTGCACAGCCAACCACAAACAATACTTTGAAAACTTGACCCTGTCGTTTCTGGTTTCTAGGGAGAAAACATTTTTCTTTGTAGAAACTGGAAAGCTGTAAGGCACAGTCACACTGATCTGCAGTGTGCCAGCACTGCAGGAGGTGGCAGGAGCATCCGACTGCACATGCAGCTGCACTGCAGGAGGGATTGCTTGTGCAGGCAACAGAGCTGGCATTCTCATACCTGTATCCCAGGGCACCAGCTCTGTTACCCAGAGCCAGGAATGTGCTTCGTAAAGAGTCTTTAGTGCTACGTTCAGGATATGCTGCATATCACCTGTGATATTAATCACAATGAACTGTTGAGAGAAAGGCAGAGATGCCAGCCAGAACTAGCTTGTATTAAACTTGTTAATAAAATAGTGGCTCTAACCCAGTGAGTTGGGAGCTGATGAAAACAAAAAGAAGATGAGATTGCACACATCATCTTATGTGCTCGTATGGTTTGGGGACTGTATGTACACAGCAGGTGCCTGTTAATTATTAACACTACTGTTTATCTCTGTTTCTTGGCCCTTCTGCTAAGGTTAAGTGCTATGTGAGCTGGTAGATGCATGTCCTTTAGCAGAGGTTATCTATCCTGATCAGAGAGAGCTCTGAAGTAATTGTCAGCCACTTGTTACTCTCTTTCTCACTGATGTCAAATAGATAAAAGTTCAGCTCCTTCCCACCAGGAGTAGAATCCATCGTCTTGCCCCGGGGAAGTTGAGGATGCCCTATAACAGGGCATCTATTATACAGGGCCCCCCAGAGATCTCTCTCAGCCCAAACTCCTCCTTAACACGACACATCCAACAGATGCCCAGCCTGGGATGGGGTGAAAGCTCAGGAGTGAGTTGAGGGAGTTCTCCAAAGCACCCTGTTATAGCCTCAGGGCAGTGCAGTTCATCTTACCTCGGGCCAACTGCAGCAGTCAACCACTGTTTGGAGGGGATTTTTTTATTATTTTTTTTCCCCTTGCTCAAAGTGAACAGAAGAACACGATAAGAGCAGTTTTATAGCTGGTGAGTGCATTTGGTTTCCCTTTCCTTGATGACAGACTGATCAGTTGACAGCTTTTATTTGCCTGAAGACGACAGGCTTTTCTAGGAGTTTCTTTTTGGAGCATCAAAAATGTTAGGAAAGACCAAAGAAAACAGCTCTAGCCTTCTAGTCATAGGACCAGGATTTGTTCATTAAAATGATTCCTCCTAAATGCTGGTGCTGTCTCTTCCAGGCTGGTCTCCAGAGGTGGTGGAGCTGTGCAAGAAGTATCGAAACGACTCTGTGGTGGCCATTGACCTGGCTGGGGATGAGACCCTGAAGGTGGAGAATAACTCTGAGCATAAGAAGGCTTATGAGGTTTGTGGAATTAAGCTTCTTAAAAGAAATCACAAGAAAAATACATATTGTGTGAAGGGACAAGCAGCACGTTTTCCCAACTGCAGACGGCTGGGATAACTTAGAAATGCGTTGCAGCTATTAAAAACATTCAGATAAATAGCAAAAGTGTTTGTTTATATTTCCTAAATGATTAATGGCAGGCATCACTGCTTAAACATGGCCTTGGAGCTGGGCTTGGAACGCTACCCTGTAGCACTGAGTGTGACACAAGTGACGTGGAGCCCAGATCATCCCCCACCCCGCTGCTGTCAGCCCCTGGGGCTCAGTGGAACCATGGCCAAGGGTGGAAGAGACTGGCCTTTCCAGTCTGCCAGAAATCACCCGGGGAGCTGAGAGGAAGCTGCACATTTGAAGGGCTTTTATCTGATCATCTCAAATGCAAACACTGTAATAGCTTCAGGAGCCTGATCCCAGACTCTTACTAGACCTCAGCCTTTGCAAAGGTTCTAAGGGAAAGTCTTGTTCCTCTTTGCTGGTGGGAATTTGGGGTTGTTAGTCCCCTCCATCAGTGGGGGAGGAGGTTGTGCACCACCACTGGCAAAAAAGACAGTGGTTTGTAAGCAGTGCTCAGGTCTGAAAGCACGTGGGGGTTCCTGGGGTCTTCACCCCATCAGTGGGAGCTGATACAAAGCCTGCCTGCACTGCTGTGCTGGGTGAACAGAGTGATTATAAACCAAGATGCAGGCACAGGGTTTGGTCTCTTTTCCCAGGCAGCTCTCAGCAAGACAAGAGGGCATTGTCTTAAGCTGTGCCAGGGGAGGTTTAGGTTAGATATTAGAAAGAATTTCTTTACAGAGAGGATAATCAGACATTGGAATGGGCTGCCCAGGGAAGTGGTGGATTCTCCGTCCCTGGAGGTTTTTAAGAAGAGACTGGATGTGGCATCAGTGCCATGGTCTGGGAACCACAGTGGTAGTGGATCAAGGGTTGGACTTGATGATCTCAGAGGTCCCTTCCAATCCATCTGATTCTATGATTCTATGAACAGATGGGCAGGTGTGTCTTATCCTCCCTGCTGTGCCAGCAGTGCCCAGGTCCAGCCTTCTCCATCCGAAGGGTGCATCTTGTCTCTGTGCCAGGGGCTCGCTCAGGCTCTGAGATGCTGAAGCAAACCCCACTCCCATCTGTGTTAAGTAACTGAAAAAACCCTCCTGAGTGCAGAGCCCTGAAGGACTGTCTGTGAGGAGCGGCTGCTGCGGGATGGGGCTTGCAGCCTGCCTGCTGCTGCCAGATGGGTGGCCCTTCTCCAGCAAGCCAGGAGCCAGGCTTCCCTCGAGGCTGCATGGCTTCCCAAAGCCCAGCTGGCCTCTGGGCCACCCTGGCAAAGGATTTTTCGGGTTGGTCATGGAGCTGCACCGAAAGCTGCGCCCGCAGGGTCCTCTCGGCTGGGCTGCCTCCAGCCCAGCCCCTTACAGGAGGGAGGTGCTCAGTGTCAGAGCTTTTCTTCATCTCTGCCCTGAGGGGGGCTTCTAAATTCCCCCACCTGGCTGCAGCTGGCCAAAAAGGTAGAAGTTCCACAGGCTGGAACTGCTGCAAGGTTCGTGCAGAGGGACAGGTGGGTGGAGGAAGGAGAGCTTGGAGCTTGCTGCTGTCTGGAGAAGAGGCAGTGATGAGCTCACCCAAAAAAGCCCTTGAGGAGCCTGGCTGGGCTCCAGCAGAAGGTACCAGGGTTTCTCAGTGTCTCTGTTTGTGGCTCTTCTCTTGCAGCCCTTGGAGTGCAGAGCCTGTGGGCTCTTGGCACAGAGCCCTGTTGCTTGCTGTGCCACCCCAGGGGTTTGCTGGGACAGGAACATGTTCTCCCTTGTTTTGCAGGAAGCTGAGAGATGTGGGATTCACCGCACTGTCCACGCTGGGGAGGCCGGCCCTGCTGCCATGGTCAAGGAGGTACGAGGAGTTCCCAAGTCAGGGCAGGGAGAGGGGCAGGGCTGGGAAGGGCCCTGCATCCCCTGCCCCAGGGAGAGAGGTGTGCCAGCCCTCTCTGTAGCCACAGCACAGCAAACACTGGGGACGTGGCAGGGGCTGGAAAGGGCCATCCCAGAGCAGGGTCAGTGGTGGGGGCTGTCCCTGTGGTGGGACAGGGGTCTCAGGGCAGGCAGGAGCCGAGCTGGTGCTCGGAGGCTGTGAGTGGTTCTCCTGTGCTCCTTTTAGGCAGTTTATGTCCTGAAGGCCGAGCGTGTTGGCCATGGATACCATGTCCTGGAGGACCCTGAGCTCTACAAGGAGCTGCTGAGAATAAAGATGCATTTTGAGGTAAGGATGTGTGGTGGGAGCGTGACAGCTGCTGTCTGAGCGGAAAACCAGCCCTTGTTTGGGCTGTGCTACAGCCAGGGGCACAACCTGACACCCGAGTGCTGACCACACGTGTGGTAACATTGCACTGAACTCAGATGCCCAAAGCTCCACAGCAGAAACAGTGGGGACACCTGTCTGTTTGCTGGAACCTGTTGCAAGGAGCAGCAGTGCACACAGCAGCTTGTGGGAGGCTCGTAGCAGAAAGAATGGATTCTGGTGTGGCCGAGGATAAATTCTGGAGGGATTATTCAGTAATTTATATACCTCAGGTCTACAGGCTCCTCCTTCCACAAATCAGGCTGCTGTACCAGAGCAAGTCTGGTTAGAGGGTGGAAATGCCTGAGAGTTACTGTGCATGTGCAGATTTCCTTGGCTTTTCCCCAGAATGGTCATATCCAGCTAATAGTTGGAATATTTGTGTATATACTTAATGGCAGTGGTTTCCTAACTGTGGTTGGCACATCACTCATGACTGACTGACCATGGGAAACATCCCACTGGCTCCTGCTGCTGTCATGTGGGTTGTGGGCTCTTTGCATCTGTGTCCTGGGACCTGCACTGGTCCATCAGAGTAGCACTGAGGGGCAGCTGTGAACAAAGCTCCAAGTCTGTATCTGGCTTTACCAGTGTGCTGAGCTATCTGTGTCCACAGCTGGGGTTCAGATCTGCGTGCTTGATTCTGCTTTTCATGCTTAACTCCCCCAAACAGGTCTGCCCTTGGTCCAGTTATCTCATTGGTGCGTGTTCTCCGGACTTCACCAAACACCCCGTAATACAGTAAGACTTCTCAATTATATGCAATCTTAAATAACCAGGATTTGGGTTGCTTTACTGCTTTACAAAGCTAAGGCCCATCTAATTATGTAGGACAATGTGGCACATCCTTGTCCTTTGGCACGGGGGGAGCTGGTGCAGCTGGAGGGGTGCAGGGGTCCCTTGGGTTGGCTGTCCTGTCCCTCCTGCTCTGAGCTGTGGGGCATGAGGTGCTGCACCCCAGCCACTACTGGCAGGTCAGTGCAGAGCTGTGGGGACAGAGGCCACTCTCCATGTCTGTCTCCAGCAGTTCCAGCTGCAGGGACAGCCCCGAGGTCTTTGCTTTTACTGCATTTCACCCTGAGAACTGCACAGCGTCACATCCAGTGCTTTACCCACCACTTCAACCCCATTTCCTTACAGATTTAAGAAGGATCGTGCCAACTATTCTCTAAACACAGATGACCCCCTCATCTTAAACTCCACCATTGACAAGGATTATGGCATAGTCAAGGAATACATGGGCTTCACTGAAGAGGAGTTCAAGAGAGTTGTAAGTCAGCCCTGGCTGGGTGCTCTGATGCTGTCCTGGTGCAGCCCAGAACAACCTGCTGGTTTTTCTTTATGAGCTGAAGAATTTTAAATGGAAATCAGAAAGTGCTGCCCTGGCCTTGTAAGCAGGAAGCTGAGAGGGTGCTCTTCATGTCTGATGTGTTTTAATGTCTCCCTTGTGTTCCCCCTCTCCTTCCCCAGAACATCAACGCAGCCCAGTCCAGCTTCTTACCTGAGAAGGAAAAGCAAGAGCTGCTCAACAAGCTGTATGAAGCCTATGGGATGGCCCCAACACATCGTGACCCGTCCCTGTGAGCCAGCGTGGAGCAGGGCCCTTCTTCCTCTGCTGACTCCTCTGTGCCCGTGGGAGCTCGGGGAGGAGGTGCCCAGGGTCGGTCTCTATTCCTGGCAGCCCTGTGTTAACCCTTACATTGCTCATCAGAATCAGACTATCACATTCACCCACCTCAACCCCACAAACTCTCTCCCAAATGGATATCCAGCTTCCTATCCTGCTGCTGTGCAAGCAGACTGGATCTGCCTGCTGGCCTGACTCCCTTCTCCATCTGTCAGTGTTTCTGTACTGCAAATGCAAACAGAAAAACCTCCCCTGCTTTTTTTCTCCCTACTCTTTCCCTGTTTTTCCTGTCCTGTCCCACTGACCTGCCTGGCCCTTGTCTGCAGTGCCGAAATAACCACCTTTAACTCTGGCTGTGGCCTGGGTTAATCTTCACCCTTGCAGGGAAGAGGTGTGTTAGTGCTGGCAGGGAGTGAGCAGGTGTTTCAGACACAGAGGCTTTATTCCTGTCCCTGTGGGTAGGAGGGTTTGGTCACAGCTCTATTTACACAGGGTTAGTCTTGTACTAACAAGACTGGAACAAGAACAAGCTGGAAGCTGGTGCCCCTACCTATACACCGGTCTGAAGGGCATTTAAAACAAAATACATTTTTTTTTTGGCATCCTTTCTTGGACAAGAGCTGTATTAGGCCTCCCAATGTCACTGCAGGTGACAGCAGTGCTCACAGCTGGCCACGACCATGCTCGCACATGCATAGGAAGTTGGAACATAATTTTACCACTTTGGGCGAAAATCTGCCCTCTGGGACTTTTCCCAGTTTTGTACTCATCCTGGAGAATTCCTGTGAACTGCAGTTTGATCTTCCTCTATCTTTGTTTAGGGCTTGGAGAAGCCATGGTCGATTGGCTGGTTTAACAGTTCTGCCCTCTTCCTAATTTGACATAATTGTTAGGCACTGCTAAGGCTGAAAAAGTAAATTAACTAGGGCCCAGTGTTGACTCAGGTCCCACCTGATTGCTTCTCTCACTCAACTACAACACTGGCTCCAAATCAGATCTTTGGTTTGGTGGAGAATTTATACAGAAAAATTCACTGAATATTCCTAAGTGATTTTGGTGCATAATAGTGTTTTTACTCCATAAGCAATACAGCTGTGCATCCAGAGAAGAGACCATAGTTTTCTGACTTGAGTGTGTGGTGTGCTTTAGCATCCCAGGTGTCTGCCAAGATGCTTACTCCAAAGATACTGTACCAAAAAGTTGCCTTTGACAAGGGGCCGTGGTCACCATTACCACAGACAGACCACGGACTGGTCCAGCCTCATCCAGCAGGAACAGTGTGCTGGGAGTATTTCCATTCTTTCTGGGCTTCCATATTGGTCTTCTGAGTAAAATACTCATCTCTGAAGTACGTGGTGCATATATACACATAGATAGATGAATAAGAGAGAGTGATTTTCTTACTTTTATAAAGCAAAAAAATAAAGCATCCCTTTTAGGAACATGATTGTGATAAGAAACAGGCCTTTTTTGGGTAATTCCTCTCCAAAAATTCTTTCTGAAGAAGAGTTTCTTGTTTGGATTCTGGACAGTTGATTGTTAATCCTCTTTAATAAAATAACAGATTTATATTAAAGGTAAATCCTTTTGCATTTCTGTTCAAGGGTGACTTTTAGGAGCTGTGACCCCTGCTCTTCAACACGTGCCTTGGTACCCCTGCTAGACCACAAGGGTCCACCACTGGTAGGTGTGAGGGGGGCTTTGGCAGCCAACCTGTTGCCAGGTTGGAGCACTTTGACAGCCAGAAGGAAGCCTGCTTCCTTGCCAGGCAGCCAAGCTGGATTTATGGATGCAGGTTGCTCCAGCCTCCCATGTCCTTTTCCCTTCGGTAATCAAAGGGATGTGTAACCCCTGCCAGAAGCAGCAGCGCCATCACTGTGTGCTCTCACTTTTTCTGATGTGCATCAAAAGTAGTTCACAGGTTTTTTCCCCTGTCTCTTGGGCTTTGCACCATTGGTTGATGCTCAGAGCCAGAAGAGGGACAGCCTGGGCTGCAACATAGGGGGACAAAGAGGAGCGTTTGCCAAAAGACTTTGGATCATTCAGTGCTTGGATAGAGCTTTGGGAGGTCTGGCATGCCACGTGTTCAACTGAAATGGAGGGCTTGGTGCATCCACGTGCTCAGCAGCTTTGCAGGTGGGGATGTGGCTGGATTAAGGGCAGTGCCCTTGGTCTTCCAGCACAGTCGGCGACAGCAGCTGACCTGGCTGCCACTTGCAAGGGGAACCCGATGCCTGTCTGCTGTCCCCTGAGAGTAGCTGGCCCACAGGTCCCTACTCCTCTGCCTAAATATAATTCTGGAACAGATATTTTCTGACTGAGGAGAGCTAACATTAGCTCACATTTGACTGCTGGAGGTCTTGGGTGGTGCGCGGTCCCTCCACGCCGCCTTTCAGCTCTGTGGGTGTGTGTGCCAGTGTGAGCCAAAAATACTGCTCTGCTCCTTGGTGAGGAGAGCTGGAAATGGGGCTTAAAGACACAACTATGCAGTCAGCTGAGCCCAGGAGCTACCTGCTGGTTTGCCCCTGGGCATGGGAAATGGGAGCAGGCTCTTGGCTGCTGTCCTGGCTGGGAGCCCTGTGCCAAAGCAGCGGCTGCAGCCACCACCTGGCTGCCAAATCCTTGTTTCCTGTGGGGGCTGGAGCCACGGACATCTCTTGTGCTGGCCCCACAGCCACCGCTTCTCAGAGGCCCACAGACAATTCTCCCTCTGTCTGGCATCTGCTTCTCTGCTTATTTATGGCCTTGTTTTCCCTGATAAACCTCAAACTCGTAACATTCAGTTCTTCCCTGGGCTGTCAGGGCGATGCTTGTCCTTGTGTCACCAGCTCAGTGTTTCCCAGGGCAGCTCTGCCTTGTCCCTGTTGGGCTGTTGGTCCCAGCCAGGCTGCTCCATCGGGATCAGCCTGGGCTGGGTGAAATGCCAGCAATGTCCCCTTAGTTCTGTGCTGCAGAGGGAAGATGCCTCTTCCTACTGGCACCAGTTCTGCTGGTGTCTGGGCCAGTGTGCCAAGTCCCAAGCCAGCCTTGAGCTTGACCTCTGGGGCAGTAACGTGGAGGGGAGCAGTGCTCCACAGGTGGATGAAATGCCCATGGGAAAAGCACTGCCTGGGAAACCTGTTTCTAGAATGTTCTGTGCCCAACTGTATCTGCCTCCCCCTGGGTGCTGCAAACCCTGGGGGCTTCATAGACCCAAACTGAGGGGACTGTCTTGTAGCACAGCTCTGTGTCTCACTGTTAGGGGAAGCTGGTGAATCCATCTCACAGATCAAGGCAAAACAGAGGAAGAAGAAACACCGAGGCAGAAAAAAACACCTTCAGTACTTGAAGGTTGTGTTATTTATTCCAACAGCTTATATAGTTTTATCAAACCATCTTTAACACAAAACATGTCTCCTAAAAGAGAGAATGGTGTGAGATCCTACCAGAGATCATCTCAGCTAACAGCTTGCAAAGTTAAGCCTGAATTTCAACAGTCAAACCAGCAAATTGTTTCTCCCCTCCCCTTAACAACATCTTAAAATGCTGACACCCAAATGAAAAGGTGCCTGTGGCTGGTGCTGCTGGGTCTCCAGGTGGGGCTCATCCCCACAGAGCTGTGCTTTGGTCCTTTCCTGATGCTAAGCAGCAGCAGCACAGGTGAGTGGTGTTGACATGAGGGCAGTGGGACTGGTCAGGTCCCTTCCCCACTGCCCACCCTGACGAGGGGCCATGTGGGCAGTCCAGAGGCCAGGTCAGATCTAAGATGCAGATGAAGGTGAGGCTTAGAAAAACCAATTAACTGAACTTCTAATCTATGGAAACAGAATAAATAATAGTCTAAATTTGCAAAGGAGGAAGGTACCTTGGACAGGAGAGTCTGATGTGTCTATTATTACTGAAACTGTTTTCCCCCTAAGGGAAAATCGCAGCTAAGGCATCTTGAGAATGGCTCATGTCACTACAACCACGGCAGTGTTGCTCTAAATCATTAGGGATGGGGGCAGAAGTCTTTTGGAGGTGCCAGTCCTTGCACAGCATCTTGTGGCTCTCTACAGAAACGCGGTTGCAGCAGAGGCATCTGACGGACAACTTGCTGTTCCAGGTTGGCTTTTGTCCACAGATTCAATAGCAAATTCTTGTCTGATGTTCACAGCAAGGCCTTCCTCCTGCCCATCCCACCCCCTGTTCGCTCTCATGGGGAGGGGCTGCTTTCTTGCCCCTTTGGTCTTGCTCCAGGGTCATTGTCAGAAGAGGAGGCATCTCTTTGGCTTTCTGCGAAAGGGAGGATTGGGAAGAAAGCAAAGTTACAAACCCTGCCGAGGACACAAGCCACCAGTAACTGCTACAGCTGATTTCATTCTCACTGCCACCTGAAGACCTACTGCTCCCCTGCTGTGGCCAGGCACTTCCCAGCCTGTGCCAGGAGCTGGGCTCGCCAGTGTCTGTGGCAGCTCACCTGCTCCCTGCACGGCGAGGTCGCCAAGCTCCTCGGTCAGCTTGCGCATGCTGATGGTGGTGGCATCTCGCTGGATGTCGTGGACAGCGTTCCTCCGGCCCGCCCGGTCGCAGGAGATGAAGTCGGTGTAGGTGCTGGACTCTACCTCCATTGCATCTCTATTCGCCTGCAAAACGCTGTGGAGAAAACACAGCTGTGAGGACGAGGATGCTCGGCAAGGCTCGAGTCACGGCTCCCTCCAGGTGAGGCCACTCCGTGGGGTTAAATTACAGCACGAAAAACAGTCCCTGCAACTCTGCTCTGGTTCCTCTATCAGCAGCCACTGAGATCTCAGATATCAACCCCCTCGTGTGGGGAGACCCAACGTGCTGGGTGGCCCAGTGTGCCAAGGATCCATCCCAGCTGCCTTACTGGCCCTTGTTCTACCTTCCCACTGCAAATCGAGGCAGACGAGGCGTTTGTCTCTCCTTTGCAGTTTCCACCCTTCTCCTTTAGGCGCACAAGGTCGCTTGCAGCAGCTTTTCCCTTCAAAAAAAGCACTACAGAGAAAGACCTCCTTCCTCCTCAAAATGCTACAGGGAGCTTTGAACAGAAGCCAAGTTTGGCTCACTGCAGGGGGGAAGGGGTGCTGATCCAACCTGAATTTGTAATGGGAAACGATGGAACCCCTGGGAATAGCTGGAGAAACAGAGGAGTATTTTACAGGTACGGGGCTTTGGAGCAGTACTGGCCTCCTCTGGTTGTCGGATGTCACTGAAGAAGTGTTGGGCTGGACTGCTGAGAGATAAGCACTTTAACATGTGAAAAACAGCCTTTCTGTGAGACACTTGGATCCCTTTACTCCAGACTTGTGCCTGTGCCAAGGGCACAGCACAAAGAAAGGCTCGGAGCGGCCACTTGTCACACGCGAGCTCCGCTGCGAGCCAGCTCCAAGCTCAGACTGATGAATCCTTAAGTTGCTGGTTTTTCCCTTCAGCCCAGGGTTTCCCTTGCCAGCGTTTGCACAGCACACAGAGTGCAGGGGCCGGAGCACCTCGGGGTGTCCTGTCTCCTGGGCACAGAGCTGGCGAGCACACACCGCCTCGGCACGGGAAACCCGCAGCTCTCAGTTCCTGCTCCTGTAGACTCTGTTTGGCACTTAGTTTGGTTTTCTGTGTGGAAGTTAGAGATTAATTGTTGCTTATCTGTGATTCTGCTCACTGTAAAACACGCCTCTAGCTCTGCTGATGCTGTCAGTGCTCGGAGCAGGTCCCGATTAGAAACGCTCATGTGCAGTGAAAACAAAGTCATGCACATTTAATGCACATTCACTTGCTTTTGTGCCTTGGGGTTAATGACCCAGAGAAGTTTGCTCAGCTTCCTGTACAAATCCTGCTTAATATTGATTTTCCTACCGGGGAATTCTGCTGCAGACCACCAGACTGGACAGGAATCGCGCTCCTCTGCCTAATCCCCAATGTTACAGCACTAGGAAGGAGATGCAGCAGATGGGATGAAAGTGGTTAAATTCCCCCCATTCCTGAGCTGAGCAGGGTGCAGTAACCGCAAACCTGCAGAAAACCAGTACATCTTGGTAGCCCCAGGGACTCCTCTCTTGGTGCTGATGCCAGATCAGGGAGTGCTGGCACCGGCTCACTGGTGGGATGTGGGGCTCAGCCTACCCAGACCTCCCAGGAGATCCTGCTTCCCCAAATCTGGCAAATTCTTGCAAACATCCATCTCCTCCAAGGGCTTGGCATCCATCTAGCCCCTATTAAATGAGCACTGGGAAAAGCTGCATCCTTTGTCCCAGCAAGAGATCCCAGCTGTTTTTCCTCATCTCCCCTCCTTCTGTCTCTGGCGTGCTGTTCCTGGGATAAGGCACATGCTCTGGATGCAACAGGCTGGATGAGCTCAACGAGCCTTTTCCCCAGGACAGGCTGAGCATCCATCATTCCCAGACAAGTCCTTACAGCTCATCAGAGCTCAAGAGGCTGCTGACCTTCTGCAGCTGCCGGAGATGTCATACGGACTTGGGAGGCTTCTCCAGGAGCAATCCACACAAGGCTCAGTTCATCTCCAATCTGTGAGGCCAGTCCAGAGCTGAGATGCTCCAGAGTCCTCCTGCCCTTGTACTGAGGGCTGGACCACCTGGTTTCTAGGAT